CATACAAATGTTTCAGTATTTTGATGATCATTCTTCTATGTACAATTATTTTTTAATTGATTGTTTTGATTGACTACTTGATTGATTGCATATTGGTCTGTCATGGTCTTAAAATTTTGAAGTTTTATTTGTCTGACTATTGCACCTGTTCTTTTATTTATTTATTTATTTATTTTTATGATAATCATGTCTAACCCGTACTTTTTTTATACCCTTTTTCTCAGAAGTTTTATTTGAAATTGGAATTAGAATCTCATATTGGCATTGAGGCTTGGAATTATTTTCCCTCGATTGGACTCTATAGTTGAAAGTTTATGCAAATAAACACCATCTTTGCTTGATTGAAGTTGACATAGTGTACCAATTTCTAATTCTTGAAATAGATCTTGAGGGAGTCATATATGTTCCTTACTTTGCATTGGCCGTGCAGTATAAACAAAACAGTGCTAAATTAACTTTTCAATTTTGTTTTGATCAAATATAAAAATAATGGTTATTGCACAAGTTCTATTGCAGAGTTCAGAAAACACTGCATTAAATTATCATTGATATATTTCTGTAGGATATGCTGCAGTAGTGATTTATGGAACGGTTGGTCTAGACAGTTACTATTTCATTAATGACTCCCTTTTTATATTCTTGAATTGTAACTCAGCCTATGACCAAATAAATATCAACCTTACTTTACACCTTTTTGTCTAAGAAGAATAAAAATTCTGAGGACCAGTAACCAGGGGGTGGGGAGGGTATGCTTCTATTGTCTGTTGTACTTCACGTTCTAATGCACTATTAAGTTTATAGAATTGAAAAAGACTAGCTGAAAGCTTCCCATCTCAGGAGAATTCTATTTTAATATCAGAAGAATGCATTTAAAAAACTGTTACAATTGTAGTTAATTCCTGAACTATTACAATCAAAATTCTCCGATTTTAACAACTGTCTTCAAGTGAAACATTTGAAATTGACATTAATGTTCATGCGCGTCTCTGTAAATAGCAACTCCCAAACAGCATTACATCTCTGCATCAATTCTCTTGGCCTTCAATATCTGTTGAAACATCTTTTCAATCGAAATTCCAATCAAAGACAACTTTTGAGAATCTGGGTGAAAAAGAAAAGAAAGATCTGTGATGATAGGCCCATTTCCTTTGTCGGAGCTGCTGGGCATAGTTTTGAATGATGATCCCGTACAGAGTTGTGTGATTAATGAGCTGACTGTTCGTTTTTTGTTTGCTGCTTTAAAAGAGATGTTAAAAGAAAGCTTCATTTTTTATTAAAATTGCTGATGCATTTGAGGATTTACTATTGCACAAGTGTTCTATCGTTTCTCCAAACTGGTAATTATTAACCCTGAATGATCTTATACGGAGTTTTATGGTTTGTGTCATTTTGAGTGCCTTGGAAGAGTCTAAAAGAAAGCATCAAAACAGTTTGATAGTTTATGGTTTGTGTCATTTTGAGTGCCTTGGAAGAGTCTAAAAGAAAGCATCAAAACAGTTTGATAGTTTTACTATAGCATAGATATTCCCTCGGTTCTCCAAGTTCGTAATTGTTTGAGTCTTGAAATTACTGAAACATAAGAATGTCTTTTTTGGGGTGGCAGCTGGAGGGGAGGGATGTATTTTGTTAAACTTGTTTGGATTTGAAAATATGATTTAATGACATTTAATGAAGGATATACCACCACTAACTAAGGCTTATTCTTAATAAATTTGTGGTTGCTTCGTGCATCCTTGTTCTCCATCCATTAATCCCCTCATCTGAACAAACCATTCTAATTTTGATTTGGTTCTTTCTCTTCTAATATGTTCAAATGGAACTGACTCTCTCGCCCTTGAGCATCAAATAGTGGTTATATGAATATTATTTCAAAATAAAGATGTGATGAAATGAGAAGTATCACGGACTAATTTTATGCACATTTACCGTGATATGGCAGAGTCTTGTGTTGTTCACTATATGTCTGTGATAAGTTCCTGTTGATGGTCCCGGTCAACACAAAGAATCAAATATACCAAGGAAGGAAATAAGATAAAAATGGAAGATAAACTCAACGACACTGGAATTTGTGTTTGTAATTGAAGGTTTTTATATAGAATGCAAATGACAGAATCTCTCTTAACACTGTTTGTGCTCAACTATATTGTAAATGGCAAGAATGAAAATGATAATTGGACTTTCTTGAGGTCCAAGCTCTCCCCCAGACTTTCTAATTTTCCAGTGCCTTCTCCCCTTTTTGCTTTGCTTGTTTATGTTCCTCTGACTTCCCCCTCAACCAGTTTTTTTGCATCCATGTGCTGATTAGATATTCCCTCATGCTCTTCCTTTTCTGCTCTTTTCTTACGTCTGGTGTATTTAAATTGGATAGGTGGCCTATCAGTCTGCTACTTTTAGAGTCTGTTTGACCTTGGCACTTGATTTAACATACTGAAATAGCTATAAACTTTCGATAGGGATCTTTCCACACTACTGGCTTAGTCGTCACTTCTAAGTTGCCGAGATTCTCAGACATGTATACGCTTATAATAGCTAGTGCGGATCCCGAATCAATATCTGCAAAGCCACCAGTTGAATTTACTAAAAGCGTCACTCAATGGTAATCTCTCTCCTCCTGAATCCCCAATAAATAGCAGAGAAGGAAGAAAGAAAAATAAAAATCCTTCATGCCGTTCTTCCACTTAAATTAATATTCGGCTTATGGCTCATTATGCAAATTTACATCATCTCTCCTTTGGTTGTTATTTCAGGTTCACCAAGGAAGGAGTTCTGGTGGAGGGCCTGTTCTGGAAAGATGTCGAGGACCTAATAAACAAGTATGCTGAAGAAACTAAAAAGAGCAAGTAGAATTCGAACTTCCCCAATACAAAAAGGGCTTTAGGATAGTTTTACTTGCAGTGATGACATCATCTGTGAAGTATGTTTCAACTGAAATGGATTTTTTGTATCAAGAATCATGCAATCAATTCTGGAACGCTCTTTTCTTAAAATGCAGTTCTTTGGATTATTTTGTCCTAAAGTTAATCACCTACATGTTTTACAATGCTTGATATCACCATTTTATTTATCAATTTCTTATGAGATCTGATTTTGCATTTCTTTTTCACTAGTCCTGTTTATCATTCTAACTTGACCCCTTATTTTTTTGCTAATCTTTTTTTCCCTTCTCTTCCCCCCACCCCCCTCTTCTTAAAGAATAATGCTATTTGTATATAGTACTTTCGCTTCAGCATTCCATATAGGAGTGAGTGACAATAAGTTAAAATGCATCTCAAATTTGTAGCAGAATATGGCAGTAGAGCAACTACCGAGATTGCTAAATAAATAGTATTAACGGTATTATTTTGTAGTTTGCTGTGGAGTAGTTTTGTTTATTAATAGTTTTTACTGTATAATTTATAAATCTTCCCCTCGTTTACTATTGGTACGCGCATAACCCGGCACCCCCAAAAAAAAAATAAAAAATAAAAAGGGTTGGCAGGTGATGAATTTCCATTATTCAATGTGCTAGATATGGGAAGAAAAGCAACTCCTAACCTTGTGCTCCCTACTAAAAAAGGTTGAACTCCAACTTTGAGGGCCTCTGTTTTGTTTATTAATAGTTTTTACTGTATAATTTATAAATCTTCCCCTCGTTTACTATTGGTACGCGCATAACCCGGCACCCCCCAAAAAAAAATAAAAAATAAAAAGGGTTGGCAGGTGATGAATTTCCATTATTCAATGTGCTAGATATGGGAAGAAAAGCAACTCCTAACCTTGTGCTCCCTACTAAAAAAGGTTGAACTCCAACTTTGAGGGCCTCCACAATTCCGCCCTTAGAGTTTTGTGAGAGAGGTAAATCTAGGGATGTGTCCCAGCAGGTCAAGGAATAAGAGCTGTCTGTACACTGCGCATACAAGGAATTTAATTTCATGTTTCAGGAATCGAACCCTCACACTGCAGCTGTCAACAAGGCGTAAGATAACATCACTCATATCCTTTACATCACTGGACTATGTCTCGAGGGGCTTGTGCCCCCTACTAAACTCTGCAAGAAAGGTACTTGCCTTTATTAGAGAGAGAGGTTGGCGTTTCGTAGGAACTGGGGCGGGTAGATGAGTAAAGTGGACTCGATTTATCTAAAAATGAGGCTTGGGAAGCATAGAATGGGTTACTTTGTCTAAAATTATTTTTTAATTTCTAATTAAATTGTTGATAAATAAAAATTAAATAGGAGAAAATTACCTCAACTCCTAAGATTCAATTTCATAAATAAGGTGTTTATGTAATGAAAAGAGAGAGAAGAAAGAATAAAAGTAATGAGAACCAAAGCTCCATATTTATATGACATGATTAGGGATATAATGGTAATAATTTTTAATCTGCATGCGTTACAAACAAAATATATCTTGTTAAAACCTTGTTTGATAAAAATTCAGTAAGAAAAAAATTTCAAACGAAGGAAAAAAAGTACATTTATTTTTCAGTATTAAAGATAAATGCTGCTTTATTAGAATCTTGTTAGGAAAATCTAGTGGAACAAAGCCTAAGCGAAAGAAAAAGAGAGCAGCTATTCTTCTGAGGTTGATAATTGAAAATCTTCAAGTCGCCACATTCCAATCTCGTGAGCCAATTTTTTGAATGTACATGTTGACAGTGCTTTTGTGAATAAAACAGCCACATTGTCATTTGAGCGAATCTGTAGAAATCGATATTGCCATTCTTCTGAAACTCATGTGTATAAAAGAATTTTGGAGAAATATGCTTTGTCATGTCATCTTTGATTTAGCTTACTTTAAGTTGTGCAATACAAGATGTATTGTCTTCGTACAAAATTATTGAACCATCTTTTGTTGAGATTAATCTATATGATGCTTGGATATAATATGTCATGTTCTTCAACCATACACATTCTCGGCCTGCTCCATGGATTGCAATAATTTCAAAATGATTTGAGAATATTTTCAAAGATTGCTTTACAGATCTCCATGATATAATTGTTCCACCACGTGTAAACATATATCATGTTTGTAATTTAGTTTTATATGAAATAGAAAGATAACCTACATCTACATATCCCACTTAAGCAGATCTAGACTTTTGAGAATAAATTAATCTCAAATCAATTGTACCTTTTAGGTAACCAA